GTTATTAACTAGTTTAGCCAATCTTTTAGTGTGTTTTTACGTATTTACGTTCAGTATTGTCTTTCATATTGCTCAAAATTTTCAACTTGTTGTGTTGCGAATTGTCAAACTGAAACGATACTGTCTTCTATAACTCTTGAACAGTAGTGAACTGTCGCCGAAACTTATGTAAGTTCTGTCAATCAATTCAATTCACAGGTATCGTTTTATCTGCTAAATCAAATAAAACAGTTATGAGTTGTTTTATATGAAAAGTTAAACTTGTAGTTCGATGTTTTGAAAAGTTTTCACACCGACTTTAACAACAAAAACAAATGTAAACTAACACTGGATTTAATACAATGCGTATAATAGTGTTTTTTATTAGTATTTTCAAGATTAATATTTTATTTTCATGTCAAACAAGTCAGAAATATCTGTTTTCGTATGTATTGTAAGCCAAAAAGTTGAAATCACTATAAATCACCCGCTACAATTTACACGCATGCGCAGATCTTGCTCATGTCGAGTCGATTTTTTTTCATGCTGACCACGCCGATTTTAGCGATGATTTTCTCGTGTTTTCTTCGGTGAAATTTTTTTAAACTTTGTATTTTTGTTATACAAGACGAGTAGTACAACATATCCAAATTTTGAGAAATTCTACAAATTACTTTTTCTGTAACCGTCATTCACGAATATCTCGAAAACTTATTTGTAAATTCCCTTCAAATTTTGATATGTTTTTCTTTTATGGGCCATAAATCTTCAACAAAAAATTCAGAAAACTTCACCGAAGGAAAATATAGATATTGTCAATTTATTGTGAAATTAGACAATAAAAGTGCAAAAGATTAAACATCATGGTTGCCATGGCAACACGAACACTGTTCTAATTTGTTCATAAAAGGACAGCACACAGCTTCTGAACTTTCCTGGAAATGATCATATTGCCTTGTCTTAAGTGTATCTAATATAAATTCGGTTCAAAGCGAACGTTCCTTAAAATACCTAGAATTTTAGAGAACTGTAGGGAGCCACCTTAAATCGCGACTCTTATATGAAAGCCGCAGTTACATACATATAAATGGGGATTGATGGAAACAAATGTTCAATATCATCCTTAAAAACCGTTGATTTTGAGTACTGAAATAAATGACGACAGATCAGATACAGATCAGCTAAAATATGGCTGTAAGTTTTGTTGATTTATTGGGATAAATCTCGCTAATCATGGATTACTTCCCCTTACCTCGCAATGGTATTTTTATCAATTCTGTTTCCCGTGATGATAAGAGAAATAGTGGTCGGGAAGGGAAATTTTATAAAAGCCAGACCCACTTGAATTTTAGGGCTTGTTTACATGGAGGTAGGGTGACCCTATCAGAAGGGTTACCCTAGCAAGCGGGTTAGAAAATAGCGAGCGTTTACATGAGGTAGGGTGACCCTACTGCTAGGGCTATGTTGCCGGATAGGGTAACCCTACCTATGCGTGGTCGCTAAGCGGTCTGTATTAGATAAATGGCGCCGAAACGAAAAGTTTTAGCGGCAAGTTGTGTAATGCTATTTATTGGGCCTTTGCTTGCTGCATTTCAATGTTGTGGTCTGTTATTTCCGAGGTTATTTCAATATCGTGGTCTGTTATTTCAATGTTGTGGTCTATTACTCGCATTGCGTAAATAAGCGTAATGTACTCCTTGATATAGTCCAACACAACAGTTTTTCGACATGTTCGGCTGACCAAGAGCATTTATTTTGTTTTTTTGACGTCGATGAGGATGCGCCGGAATTTTGCTTCATTTTCGCCGTCTTTGACAATTTGTTATCGAAACTACATCATTCGCAGCGTTCTCGTCCAAAGTCAAAGCTTCGTTCTATGCCTCTGCTTCTTTATTTGTAGATTGCTTATCCTTTTTATTTTCTGGTGTCGTTTAAAATACTCGCCAGGCTGATATGTTCATATGTATAATCTAGCGACGCCATATCCTTGTTTGTCTGTCACAGTAGGACGTATAAAACATGACCCGCCTGCTAGGGTAACCCTACCTCACGCGTTTACATGGCTTATGTAAACAAAAAGATAGCCCTGCTGCTAGGGTCACCCTATCTGTTTGATAGGGTAACCCTACCCCTAGGGTAACCCTAGCGCGCATGTAAACGCTTCCTATAAAACATATTGAAGTAGGGTAACCCGCTTGCTAGGGTAACCCTTCTGCTAAAGTCACCCTACCTCCATGTAAACAGGCCCTTAGACCCATCCCGCAAGACGGTACAGGCCCCTCCACCTACATTGAACGATATAAATTCACGCTAAGACAAATATAAAAAAAAATAATATGTTAGCACACGTGCATTCTTCTGTAGAATGTATATGCAATTCATAAACAATAAAACTTTAGATAAAGCGACAAAATTATAAAGTTTATATCCAGATTAAGGTAGAATAAATAAAGTTAAACTATGCGGAGTGAATTTACTCGTTGTATATTTGGTTGGACAAAACAGTTTTTCTCATGTGTGAGAAAATTGTTTCGCTTTTCTAACTGGCGGCTAAAGTCAGTAATGTAATTTGCGAAACAAATAAATCAATTCAGGAAATTAATATCTATATAGTAAATACACTTTATTTTATCACCATAGTCCTCATACTGCTCATATATGTACGATGCTACTTATGTTCACCATTTAACTTCACCAGCTCAACTTCAACTTCATCTTTTTCCATACCAAATTCCATGGTGTTGCTCTTGATGCTTGCCCAAACCATCATATGTGTAGTGAACGCCTTTCCAAAGTTTCCTTCTTTGTCAATCGTAACTACGCCACCGTGGCCATTGACAAGACGTTTCATTTTCTCTAAAGCATTTTCTGCAGATTCCTAGGGATATATTTAGTTATAATAAAATACAATCTTCTGTGTGTGAGCTTCTTAATTAGTTATCATGAAAGTGAAAGGCAATCTTTGCAAACAATCACTGTGAGGGACTTAATGAATATTTTGTCGTTGGGGTCAAGGGGGGGTAATAGGCATCCAAAACTACCTGACTTTTTACATTACGTTTTATATTACCTAAAAAGCAGCGTTTGAAATTTAGTGTGGTTTTAATATTTAATAGTAGATTCAAGTAGCTGGTGTTTCATTCGAAAGAATATATTGGCACAATGAAACACAGGACTAAATCTATTACGGAAATCAGGGCCGTAGCGACCGGGTGTGTGTGTGTGTGTGTGGAGGGTGGCGGCACCTCCTGATAATTGCTCATATGAGCAGTTTCAGGTAATTTCAGGAAGAGTTGTAAAAGAAATTCAGGTAAAATAACGCAAATTCAGGTATTTCCTAGGACAAGAGAAAGTTTTTTTTTACAAAAATAACTGTCAATTTGGAAAAAAGTGAGGTACATTTACAGAAATTTTAGAAAATTCTAGAAATTTTCGGGATTTTAGAAAAATGTATTTGATAAACGGCAAAAATTTGTGTTGTCCGAAAAATTTTTTGTATGTCGCGAAAAATTTTTGTATGTCCGGAAAATTTTTTTGTACCCCTAAAATTGTACACTGACCGAAATTTTTTTGGCGACGGGTGGGGAGGTCACCAAAAAAATTTTCCGAGAGAAAATTTTCAGGTAAAATTCAAAATTTTGACATTCTCAGGTAGATTTAACCAAACACCCCCCTGAAGCGAGTACCACGCGACGGCACTGACGGAAATACAAAGGAAATCGAGGAAATACTCTTTAAAGAGAAAATTTTGAATATTTAGACCCTCAGAAAGTCAAGAAATGCAACAAAAATTTGGCATTAATACCTTAACTAGAAAGTCAGCTTATGTCACTTAGAAACTTACCTGAAATAACTCATCAACGAATATTGGGGAGGGTGTTTACCCCCTCTCCCAACACAGGCACACTTTCCGCGACTATTTGAATCAGTCGGTTAGTGCAACATTGAGATAATGGATATTTGCAGACTTGCATAGTGCATAATCACAATTTTCTTTGTTGTTTTGCAGCAGGGAAATAGTATTACCATGAAAAATAAAAATAATGGATCGCGTAAAATGTTTTCAGCGTTTCAACCTTGTTGAAAGTCAGGGCATCACCAAATCCAAAATAATTCACGTTTAGCAATAACTGATATAGCTGAACAAATAACTGATAAATCCACGCCACTCTACGATGAATGGAAATCTTTCAACATTTTCAGACGGTGAAATATGAGTAATAAATTTCAACTCAACAACAGTATTGTATGCATGAAAACCCCAAAAGAAAGACATTTGAAAAAGGCAGATTCTTAAGTCAGTAAAACCATTTTCTGTTTCAATATTATTATATAATTGAATGCGGAAAGTATTGTATATAGGCGCCAGTTGAATGTTTAATAGTGGCATTATGATACTGCAAATTTAGAAACCTAACCTGTGCATTCTGTCCATTTTCCATATTATAAACTACATCTCTTGCCAAAGTCACTTTCATTATTGCCTCTCCGAATCCAGTTACTGTTGCTCCTCCTATGTTATTTACATAACCTCCGCAACCAATGAACGGGGCATCACTGACACGACCTTTCAATTTTCCTACTAGACCACCTGAACGAATAAAAATGTCGTTGCTGTTTCTGTTATTGTTTGTTATTCTTACATACGTTCCTGTTGTTGCTGTCGTTGTTGTTGCTGCTGTCGTTGTTGTTGCCGCTGCTGTGCTGTTGTTATTGCCGTTGCATTGTTATGGTTGATATTGCTGTTGTTGATGTGGTTACTGTTTCTGTTGTTACTGTTGTTGCTGTTGCGCGGTTGTTGTTGTTGCGCTGTTGTTGTTGCGCTGCTGTTGTTGTTGTTGTTGTTGTTGCTGTTGCGCGGTTGTTGTTGTTGCGCTGTTGTTGTTGTTGCGCTGCTGCTGTTGTTGTTGTTGTGGTTGTGGTTGTGGTTGTGCTGCTGTTGGTTGCTGCTGTTGGTTGCTGCTGTTTGTTGTTGTGGTTGTGGTTGTGGTTGTGCTGCTGTTGGTTGCTGCTGTTGGTTGCTGCTGTTGGTCGGTCGGTCGGTCGGTCGGTCGGTCGTTTGTTGTGTGTTTGTTTGTTTGTTTGTTTGTTTGTTTGTTTGTTTGTTTGTTTGTTTGTTTGTTTGTTTGTTTGTTTGTTTGTTTGTTTGTTTGTT